ACAAGAGCGGACCAATCCGGTCCAGAACATAACTTATATTTGGCATTGACCCTGTCCAATTGAGGGGCCGAATAAAAGAGCCGGCGCATTCCTGCCAGTAAAACAAGGGCCGTGTAAAAGTACATGGCAAGGACTAAGAGTGGGCCAGGCCCAGAGAGAATACTATAAATACAAGATCTTCAGTCTTAAAGAGGTATGTGAGAACTAATGTGTTTAAACTAGAATACAGATCAATTTGAGTGTAAAGACTAACTTGCCCGTCGGAGTGCTAATTCTGGCACCCTCTACCGGAGTATTCATTTCTTCTCAGGTGACTAGAAGAGGATCATCAACGTCCCCCAGAATCAGAGGAGTATTTCCAAACCACTTCTCTACAGCAATATATGTGTGCACAACCACCCTCCCTATCATTTCATGACCTCAAGGGGGTGTAGTTCTTGATCCTCGGACCACCAATCACGCATCTCAATGCATGATGGCTGAGAAGCCAAGATTGCACGAATCAATGTGAAATGAATGCACACATAACACATAAATGCCTTGAACTCTATCATGCATGATCAAGAGCTCAAAAGCGTCGACGACCGAGAATTGAGGAACGTTTCATCACTTCAAGTATGAAACGTCCTTCGTTTCTCGTGTTTGGACTAACACCTAATCCAAACACATGCAATGCAACAACAAGCATGTTAAACACAAAGCGAACAAGAAGCATGCAAAAAACATGCTATCTTACCAATGCTAATGACATGCGTACACAATGCAATGTAACATGGCATACACAATGCAAATAACAACATAGCATACACAATGCAATGACAACACAACATACACAATGCAATGTAACATGATTCAAACAACATGCTCAATGGACTTAAACCGAATATGGACGGACCTCAGTCATGCCAAAACAGTGGCCATAATGCTAAAAAGATGGCATGAAATGCAAGGTAAATGCATGCACATGCTATGGCTCTTCAACTAGACATAAGATCACAACTCTCAAACATGAGAAATGAGTGACAGATGTGGAAGTGTAACAACACTACATGCTCTAAAATTAGGTATGAAATGATGCCAAATCATTCAAACAATACAGGCATGGCATGCTAGGGTCTTTAAGCATTAAAGCTAGCAAAAAGGATTATACAAGGGACATGCAATACATGGCACAAATGCATGAACCAACTATGGACAGAGCTCAAATAGGTCAAAATAAAGACCAAAACATGCTATGATGAGGGCTCAATTGCCTAGGCATGCATGCATACACACTAGGCCATAAATAAGGCAACAATGCACAACCCTTAGAGGCACTCAAAGGGTGAAAGAAGTAGGAGCATGGCAGTGCTATATGCTCTGAAATAACATGTTAAGTGATGCCAAATCATGCACATGTCACAAATGAAGCATGCTATGAAGCTCAAAGCTTGAAACTAGCACAGGCATTTGTACTATAGCTATGCAAAACATGAAGCATATGGCTAAGGAAACCCAAAACAGTCCTAGAACATGCCAAAATGAGTCTAAAACATGCATGGAAGGAAACCAAAATAAGCTAGCATGGTAAGCATGAAGCATGGAATATGCAAGGCCAAAAGGGAGGGTTATACTACACCTACCAAGACCAAGCATGGGATGACTTTGCCAACAAAAATCAAAGTTATATCATGGCAAAATAACCCCAAAAACACACTGAAATGATAGCTTGCAAGCTTAGGCATGAAGGCATACACAATGGCTCGCCCTTAAGGCATAAAGCACAAACTCTCCAATGCATTAAAAGAGTGAAAGATGTGAGTGCATGGAAATGAAATATGCTCTAAAATCACATATGAAATGATGTCAAATCATGAAAATAGTCCAAGCAATGTATGCTAATGAACTCAATACACAAAGCTAGTGAACAAGATTGAACCATGGCTATACAAAGCAATGCATGCATGGCCAAAACATCACAAATCAGAGCTTAAACATGCTAAAATATGGACAAAATCTTCTTAGAGTTGAGCCAAAATCATGCTAGAATGATGATCGAAAGCATGATACACATTAGACTATTGAATGGAATTGCACTACAAGTGCATGGAGCATGCATGGGGCCATCAAACCAACCCAAAAAAGATCTAAGACATGTTAAAAAAAACACCAAAAACCTACTGATATGGACTCAAAACATGCTAGAAAGACATGCTACTTCACGAGGCATGCAAGACTAGTTTGCAAAATTTACACTACAAGTGTATAAAGCATACATGGGATGACAAAACCAAGTCAAAACAGTGGTATGCCATGTCAAACTAACCCCAAATACATGCTAAGATGAAGCCAACATAAGCTTAACAAACATGCTCAAACATGAGGCAAATAAGGCAAGCATACAAGACACAACGAGAGGGGATGACCCTCTCCTATTTGGGACCTCAAAACACCATTTCCACCACTAAAATTCCTCTAAGTTTCAGTGGTGAGAAGGCCAAAAGGAGGTGGTCCCAATAGCTTAAAAGGATAGCACAAAAATAAGGCCAAACAAGGCACAAGAGAGAGTAGACCACCCCCAACACCAACAAGGCCTTAAACAAACATTACAAGCATGCAAAATCAAAACTTTTTGTAGTAGAAAGTCAAGCCAAAATAAGCATGAAAATAGGTCCAAAAGCTTAATCAAAACAAAGGGTTAAAGGGCTAGTTGACTCACCCTTGTAGAACTACTTCAAAACTACAACTCCAGCAGCTTTTCTGAGCTCAAACCAGCCCAAGAACTCCAAAACCAACCTCAAAGGGCCACAACAACAAAAGGATGGTGTTTGAGTGTGTGTTTGTGTGCAATAGTATAGAAAAACTACACTTTCAAGCACAAAAATAAAGAGAAGATGCAAGATAGATACAAAGATGTATGTATATCTCTCAACTCTTTTTTTTGAACCCAGAGAAGGGAGGGTGTGACAACCCTCACCTCTAATTAGTGCTAATCTACGTTTTAGCATGACAAGTAATTGATTATGGCAAAATTCTGAATTGATTGCATAAGTGTATTACCTTAATTACATTTCTATCTGTTTGTCGTAGATTGATCTGTTCGTGTTTTTAATTTCGAATTGCGAATTGAAGGCCTTATCGGCGACCAAATCAGAAATTGATTAGTATTCTATGCTAATTAGGATTGATCTGTTCGTGTTTTTAATTTCGAATTGCGAATTGAAGGCCTTATCGACGACCAAATCAGAAATTGATTAGTATTCTATGCTAATTAGGATTTATGTGATTTGATGGTAGGTTTAATTAAAATTTGATTTGGAATGATTAAATTAGATTAAATAATGTTAAATTACATTAGTTGGTTTTATTTTCAATATTGCCATTTAGTGGGCCACTTTAGAGGCATTGTTTGAAGTGTGATTCATATCATTTGATGCACCATTATTCAGTCATTTTCTTAGACCAAACCATATGAGAGAGGAAGAGTAGGAGAACAAGGTTGAATTCAACAAGTTTTGCTTGAAATTTGAGGAATTGAAGGGAATTTGCAAAATTGAGCTAGCACACTTGAGATTCAAGACCTAGGTAGGATGTTCATCCTTTGGTTTATGTATTTAAGTTGCTACTTGCATGGTCCATGGTAAAATTGGTGATTAGAGTCTAGAATTGGCTCAAAGTGTTGTTTGAGTAGCTATAGTTGCATGCATGTACATATTCTTGAATTTTAAGGTTGTTTTCATGAGAATTTCCACATGAATGTTCATGTTTTTGTTATAGTCCATGAATTCACCATGTTCTTGAGCTAAAACTTGCATTTGATCATGTTTTGGGGCATTAGAGTTCATGGGAACTCATGCATGTATGATTTTGCATTGTTCTTCATATTTACATTTCAATTTGTGTTCAAATTGACTTACTTTTGGGCTTGATTTTACAAATTGATCTTCAAAGACATGTTATATTGTTGGTTTTCAAGTGTTTTCCAGAAAATTGACCCCAAAGGTTGAGTTTTGATGTGTTGAATGCTTGGTTTGAGCTTTGAAAGCAAATCTGGAAAATTCAAAATTTGGCTTCCTCGCTCGAGTGAAGGATTCCACGCTCGAGCGAGCACCTGTGTATTCAAAAGTCCGCTCAAGCAACGGAATATTGGCTCGAGCGTGAATTGCAAACTCTCAGGTTTTTGGTGCACACAGACGCACGCTCGAGCGACGAGACCTACGCTCGAGCGAAGGATGTATCTCACGCTCGAGCGAGCATCGAGCGGAGATTTTCAACAATCAGTACTTTTGCATTTTTACAGACTGCTTGAGCGAAGGAGTTTGCGCTCGAGCGACCCCACTGTTTTGATAAGCTCGCTCGAGCGAGACCCCTGTTTTCAGCAAATTTTAAAAAGTGTTTTAAAGTACATCTTTGCATCCTCATTTCATCCTAGGCATTCCTAGGCCATAATTAAGGCATCTTAATGAGGATAATGTTATAGAACCACACCGAGTATAAATAGGGGCTAAGTTATTAATCCTAAGTGTGTGTTCGTTCTGCAACTGTAGGGTTAGCATCCGAGAACGCTCGTTAGCTTGTTCATAACCCAGTGCTCTGTGAGTAACAATGTTGTAAAGATACGTTCAATTATGATTATTTTCTGAATGATCAACTGTTCTGCTTACTGAAACGTTATTATTTAATGAATGAATATTTGTCCTATTTGTAAACTGTATTCGTGGCATCCATAGCAATTTACTGTTACTGTACTATTACTGCTACTGTCACAGAGATCTCTATCGGTTCCCACGCTTGGAACTACTACTGTTTACTGTTATGATGGCCATCAACTGACTGTTTGGCCCGTTAAGACCTACTGTACTATTTTACTATGGGATGTACCACATATGACTACTATGGTTCTAAATGACTTATTTGCTAATGCAATTGACTGTTTTAATTACTGAAAGGACATTCATTCTTAACCCTTTACGCATTTGTTATTCACTGGCTTTTAGCTCACTGTTTATATTTATATGTAGGTGTCCAAGCACCGGATCGATGCTAGGAGCGTCAAGTTAAGCTCCCGTTTTGTCAAGTCAACCACCGTGCCTCACCTCGAGGTTCCGAGTCTGTCCATGCTAAGGCTATTTTGGGGTGTCTTAGTTTTACCCTTTTGTTTATGTTCTGTAATAAATGTTTAAGTCTTGACTGTAGCGTTATAGTTAGGGATTTGGTCCCTGACATGGATGTTTGTGTATATGTCGTATGTACATATGTTTGGGTTATCAATGTGGCATGTTTATAAAAAGTCTTTTTACATTCAGACTGTGACAGCTCATTGGACATCTTTTATTTCCTATTTTGGCTTCCGCCAGCCCTTTTACTCTGTATTACTGTCATTACTGTTAAGCAGGCCTTCGGTAATCACGGATTACTAGTCGGTTGCGATGCTAAACCCATAGGGGCGGGTTTGGGCCGTGACAAAGGGAGGGCCTCCCTCTTATAGAAAATCAAGCAAGAAGCTTGTTGAACACACTAAAGGCTCTAAGCCATCCCTCCATACACGTGTATGGAGGATGACTTCTGTGCCTTCCAACTGTCACAGCTGGCAAGAAAAGATCTCCAAAAAAGTGATAGAAAGCTGCCGACCACTTGAAGTGGTCGGCCAGCTACTTGTAGTGGTCGGCCGACCACCACAAGTGGTCTCCCAAGATAAAAAGTGGTCGGCCATGGGGGAGGAGTGGTCTGCACACTTAAAGAAAAGTGGTGGTGTGGTGGCCGACCACTATTGGTGGTCCAAAGACCAAGAAAACCAGTTGGCTGACCAGAAAACTGGCTGGCGGGGAAGAAAAGTGGTTTACGAGGAGAGAAACTGATCTCCCACCCTTATTCCACCCTCAAAACAAGGAAAACAAGGTTTGTGCCAAAAACAAACCAAAAAGGATGCAAGACAAGAGTCCGGGGGTCGAGGCGCGCAACTGGAAGCCTTGAAAACTAGTCTACAGGCACCAAAAGCAGTCTACGAGGGAAAAGTAGTCTACGACTATAAGAAGTGGTCTATGAGACCACATTGTCCCTCTAGGCAAGGTCAACAAGGCATGGTTCAAAAATCAAGCCAAGCGGAGAACGTTAAGCGGTCCCGAGACAAGGCGCGTGGCTGAAGACTCCGAAAATCGGAAACTAGTCTCCAAGAGCGAAAAGTGGTCTACGACCACAAAGAGGTGGTCTACAGACCTCCTTCTCCTTCTAGGGAAGGTAAAACAAGGTTCGGTTCAAAACCAAACCAAAAAAGGACGCAAGACAAGGCGCGCGGCCGAAGGCTCCGGAAACCGAAAACTGGCCTACTAGAGGGAATAGTGGTCTACAACCACAAAAAGCGGTCTACGGACCTCTCTCTCTCCTCCAGACAAGGTCAAAAAGGCTTGGTCCACAAACCGAGCCAAAACACCAAAAAGTTCAGAGGCCCGGAGGCAAGACATTCAGCCAAAAACTCCGGGAACTCGAAACGAGCACAAACATGCGTGATTACCGAGCGCTCAATCGATGATGTCTGAGTCTTAAGGTCGATAAAAAATGCGGTGTCTACACACCCCCTGTTCAAAATATATAGTTTCATGTATAAATTAAAAAGCAAGTGCAATAATTAATGATTATGTTTTCACAGGCTTCTCGTATTTAGATTACCCTTATTAGTAAAATGTTGTTGCGATGATAGAAATGTGTACTTAGTTTGACAATTCAAACGAGGTACATATTTACGTACCTCAAAATTAATACCTTGGATACGAACGCCATCCATAATAAATTCACCTCTCATCGGACACGACTTAATAGAGTAGGGTATTGGAAACAGTGGCAGACAAATTAGATGAGATGGATAGGAGAAATAATGGCAAGCATGCAATAGCCGAAAATAACAGAGGGGGTAGCATGGGGAAAGGTAATGCAGGTGCATGTTCCAATGAGGAGGATCTGCAACAGGAAGTCTGCTAAAAAAATGTAATGATGAGTGAAATTCAAAAGGTGGATGGGGCTATATGCACTACAAGGTTCTTAAGAGGTTTAAGTGGGTCAGAGGGTGAAAGACCCAATATAAATCTGGAAGTATTACTTGAAGGTGTGCAAGTTGGGCATGAGCCCAGTAGACTAAACATGGGGGTGGTTTCGAATTTGAGTGATTGTGTGGCCCAAACCCAACTCAGGCCAACTCTAGCCTAAACAACCCAATAGAATGAGGATAAGAGGGCTAGTAAAGGCATTAAGGGTAAGGAAGCAGCAGTAAAAAAAGACTGCAACTATTGGAAAAAAGCTAATGGTCAAAGGAGGGCCATCAATTTAGTTGGAGGCCATATCAAACAAAAAAGCATGGTTGGCAGACTTGACTTCCAAAGAGGAGCCATTTTTAGAGCGACAGCAGCGGCAGTAGCTACTTCCTTGTTAGTATCCCAAAGCAATATAATAAACAGAAGCAGAAATTTACTTAAGGAAGCATAATCAACAGTGAAAGTTGGCAAACTATTAGGACTGAACTACCAAGGAAAAGAATAGGAGGTAGTAAGCAAGAAAGTTGAGCTAGAAGAGAATGTTTTAACAAGAATTGCAGGCAAAGAAGGGGCAGCCAGAGCTTAACTGATTGCCAATAGGGTTTTTGGTGTAAACTATGAGTCTGTTATGAAGATTTTATCATGGAATGTTAGAGGGCTAAGAAGGCCAGAAAAAATGAGGGAAAATAAAAAATTTGGTGAGGGAAAGGAATGTTGATATTCTACTGCTACAAGAAACAAAAAGAAGCTCAATAGACGAATAATTTGTGAAATCCATTTGACCTTATGAAGAGATAGAATTTATGATGGTGGACTCAGAGAAAGTGTAGGTGGTCTTTTGTGTATTGGAGGCCACAAATCTTTGTGCTAAAAGATTGTTGCTACAGCAAAATTTTTATATTACTATCAGGTACCTCCTTTAATTCTTTTGAGTGTATTATTGTTAATATCTATGCTCCAAATGAGGTTCTGGGAAAGAAACAACTCTGAGATTCTCTGGTTAATTTATATCCCCATTATCCAAATCCATGGTGCGTGAGAGGGGATTTTAATGAAATCAGGCATTTGTGTGAGAGGAAAGGGTGTTCAAGAAGAGAGAGGGGGATGAAGGATTTTAATGAGCTTGTTGAACAATTGGAGTTGACTAATGTGCCTATGTTAGGTAGAAAGTACACTTGGTGTAATGCATTGGAGGGGGATAGGTGAAGTAGGATAGATAGATTTCTGTTGGACTCACAATGGTTGGAAAAGTTTTCTTTTAAACAATGGGGCTTACCTAAAACAATTTCAGATCACTGTCCAATTTTACTGAAGGAAAATGATAGGGATTGGGGACCTAAACCATTCAAGTTTATAAATTCCTGGACATCACATCCTAACTTCATGTCTGAAGTCACAAAGATTTGGGAAGACACACAAGTGCCAGGGTGGGCAAGGTATAGGCTTATAAGAAAATTATACAATTTAAGGAATCATCTAAGGAAGTGGAACAAGGAGGTATTTGGCAATATTGACAATAACCTAACGTCAGCAGAAGAGAAGCTATATGAGTGAGATCTGAAGGCGGTGTCTAGGCCCCTGGATGATCTAGAAATAAAAAGAAGAAAAGAGGTTAGAAGCCGAGTGTGTGTAGACATCTCATTTTGACCGGCCCTAAGACTCGGGCACTTTCTTTTGATTACCCGATGATGACAATCAGAATGTGTTTCTCACAGAATTCTCAATAAGAGAGATGAAATTTGAGCTTTAATTCCAACATTCACACATTTTTGGTCAAATTATTTTTTATCCAAAATTCACCAATCTCCACTACCAAATTTCCTACAAATCAATCCTCACTCATCATCCACTTTCATAATCATACCCCACCATCTCCACTCACTATCCACTTTCATAATCACACCCCACCAATTTACACTCATCATCCACTTTCATAATCACATCCCACCATCTCCACTCACCATCTACTTTCATAATCACACCCCACCATCCCCACTCACCATCTACTTTCATAATCACACCACACTATCCCCACTCACTATCCACTTTCATAATTACACCCCACCATTCCCACTCACCACCTACTTTCATAACCACATCCCACCATCTCCACTCACCATCTTTCATAATCATATCCCACTATCTCAACTCATCATCTATTTTTATAAATCACACACCACCATCACCATTCATCATTCACCTCCATTATCTTTCCAAAAATGCTCCACTTTATCCTCCACTTTGTCCTCCACCATTGCCCACTTGCATTGGCTATATAATGAGAGCTCTAGTCTTGAATTTTGAGAAGAATTTTGAAGAAGAGAAGTGTAGGGAGAGAATGCTAAAATTGTGTTAGAATTTGAAAGAAAAGAAAGTCTTAAAAACAAGAGAGTTATCTTGCCAAACTAGTGAAGTTACATACCTCTTACATCTTATCTTTCCTTGTCAAAACCACTCAAAGCTTTATTCAAAGAGAGAGTATTCTTACCAAGAAAAAAGTGATCATACACTTGTTCAAAACTATCATTTTAAGCTCAAATTCCAAGCTATTGAATTGAGGATTAAGATCATACTTCACAACCTTGAGGGTGATCAAGAAGAAGTTTGAAAATCAAGAAATTCAATCTTTCTTTGCATGGTGAATTTTCAATTCTTTCATTTTTCTTGCATGTTTTATCTTATATTTATTTTCTTATGTTAGTTTCATATTATGGTCTATCTTATATTTGTTTTCTTATTTTAGTTTCATATTACTTTTGTTGTAATCTTGTATATTCTATCTTATATTTGTTTTATTATTTTAGATTCATGTTAGTTTTGTTATAATCTTGTATGTTCTATCTTATATTTGTTTTCTTATTTTAGTTTCATATTAATTTTGTTGTAATCTTGCATGTTCTATCTTATATTTGTTTCCTTATTTTAGGTTCATATTAGTTTTGTTGTAATTTTGCATGTTCTATCTTATATTTGTTTTCTTGTTTTAGGGTCATGTTAGTTGTGTTGTAATTTTACACTTTCTATTTTATATTTGTTTTAATCTAACTGGTAGTGGTTAGTTGAGCCACCTACATATTTCTTATTTGTTCTTTTTCTTGGTTTTGCAATAAGATAAGTTTTGCTAGGCCTAGTTGGCCAAACGGCCTATTTGGCTGGCCGGTTAGCTTCTTTTAGACAAGACGGCATTGTATTCCGATGTTAACCAACTTAAGGTGGTTTCCAAGGCACGTGAAACTTTTTCTTTTATTTATTTTATTTTCAATGTTTTGTGAGGTTTTTTATTTTGTTGTAATATTCTCCTCATCCCTCTCTAATTTGGTTTGTAATTATTCTTTCAAGTGTTGTAATAATTCTCCGCCCCACTTCTTTCTATCTCGTTCTTGTACTTTTCTTCTTTATTTGTGAATATGCATCATATATATATATATATATATATATTCATTATCTCCATGCTTTGCATCTATGTTTCATGCATTTTGATTCGGCTAAGTTTGCATTTGTGGATTTAATCAATTCCTATATGATTATGTGCGCTGCCTAATATTCTTGAGATGATTCACATGTCATATCTTAGAAGCCGAATCTTTAGTTGCATCTCATAAGTGAATTGCATTCAGTGTGTTTGGTTTGAGTTTTTTAGATTAAGTTTTTTGAAAACTGAGTTTTTTTATTTTCGTGTTTTTTTGTTTTTAGTGAATATTTTTAAAATTTTAAACATTTTTTTTTTTACTTTTTTAGATGTACCTTACTTAGATGTATCTAAAAAGTAAAAAAAATTGTGAAAAAATATTTTAAAAAATTAAAAAATACATAAAAATACAAAAAATGTACTGAATTTTTTATTTTTTTTTTTTTGTATTTTGGTATTTAGCGAATTTTTAAAAGGTTTTTTTCACAATTTTTTTACTTTTTAGGTATATTTATGTTAGCTATGTCTAAAAAGTAAAAAAAAATGCTTAAAATATTAAAAAAATTCAATAAAAACAAAAAAAAAAACACGAAAAACAAGAAAGTACAATTTTCTGAAAAGTGTTTTTTGAAAAGCCTAACCAAGCAAGCTAATTAGGATTTTGTATATAAGCTCATGCATGTTTTACTAGCTTTGTTTTGTAACTTGTTCGCAGATGTCAAACATGTAAGTTTTTATACTTTACCATCCCATTTGTGTGTATTTTTCTTACTATGTTTAGCATTCTACCAAAAGGCTATTTGCTTATGTGATATAACTATATGAATGTCAGTGGATGGAGGTTGTGCCGCTTAATTTGGATTGATGTTGATTTTCATGTTTATAAACTTAATTTATTTGGGTTGTACATCTTCAAAACTCCTTCAAAACTACATGAAATCAAGTTGTTCCAAAGTAGGTGACATAGTCTATACTTGTATACTTCACATAGTAAAATTTAGGATTTTTTAAATAATTAGAACATGAAAATATAAAGAAAATAAAATTCATATCATGGTTAGTAAAGGCCGATCTTTTGATCGAGTGAGCGAGAGTGCTCAATTAATGACCTTCCATTTTCATACCTAAGGTTCCAAACCGAAACAATTTTGGTTATGATGAACAATGGCCTTGGCACAAGTCATGAGTTTCCTAATTTCTCAAAATATTAGGTGGCGACTTTGAGATCTGATGACGCAGTCTATTTGTGGCAATAATTTTGTAATAAAATAGATTTTCTATAAAGTTGTCAAATCTAGACTCTCATCTATGTTTCACATTGCACTCGTGAGACTAGATCAAAGAGATTAAGGGTCCGAACTGTTTAACACACATGGGCACCCCCCGGGCGTGTTACAGTGTGGAAGCTCAGCAGAAATAAAGAGAGGTTGTGACATCAAAAATCCAAACTGTTGTGGGCTCGAAATTGTGACAAAAATACTAGGTTCTTTCATATTATGGCAACGAAAAGGTTGAGAAAGAACTTGCTAGATTCAGTCCTAGTGGAGGGTGTGAGCTTTAAGGAACCAGATCAGGTGAAGCAAGAAGTAGTCATGCATTTCAGAAAGCAATTTTCAAAAAATTGGAGTTCTAGGCCAAAGATTTTAGGTCCTTTTTTCTACCATTTGCTCTGAGGCAACAGTGAACTTGAAAGCAGTGTTTTCTGACGATGAGATTTGGGCAGTAATTTAAGACTGTGATGGGAATAAGGCCTCTGGACCAGATGGCTTTAACCTAGCTTACATTCAAAAATGTTGGAGAATAATGAAAGGGGAGATAGTTCAATTGATGCATGAATTTCACTCAAATGGCAAGCTTTTAAGAGGGGTTAACAATTCTTTCATTGTTCTTATACCTAAGAAGGATAATCCTGCAGGGTTGGGGGACTATAGACCAATTAACCTGGTTAGTTCTGTCTATAAAATCCTGGCCAAGGTGCTATCCAGAATACTAAAGCAGGTTCTTCTATCAGTGATCAATGAGGTACAGTCAGCCTTTGTGAGTGGCAGGCATATCCTAGATGGGGTGCTAATAGCAAATGAAGTTGTAGATGGGTGAAAAAGATTAAAGAAGAAAGGAGTTATCCTGAAATTGGATTTTGAGAAAGCCTACAACTCCATAAATTGGGAATTCTTGCTGTCAATGATGAGAAATTCTGGATTTGGTGAAAAATGGATTAGGTGGATGAAGACTTGCCTTTCTACAACAATGGTGTTTGTACTGGTTCATGGTTCACCCACTGAAGAGTTCTAACGACAAAAGGGGTTAAGGCAAAGGGATTCTCTCTCTCCGATTTTGTTCATTATTGCAACAGAAGGTCTTAATCTTTGACTGGATAAGGCTAAAGATAAGGGTCTGTTTACAGGTGCTACAGTTGGCCCTAATGAGTTAAGAACTCACATCTCCAATTTGCAGATGACACTAACATATTTTGTGAAGGTGATAAGAAGGAAATTCTGAACATTAAGAGAGTGTTATGGTGCTTTGAGGTGATGTCTGCGTTAAAATTAACTATCACAAAAGTATTGTTTGTGAGATAGGTTTCCAAGATGATCAAACTAAGGATTTTACTAAAATCTTGAACTATCTGACCAAGAAATTGCCATTTAATTTCTTAGGACTGCCTTTAGAGGCCAATCCTAGAAGGAAAAGCACATGGTTTCCAGTTGTGGATAAGGTAAAGAAGAAGCTGTCTTGTTGGAAGAGGAAGTTGTTGTCTTATGCTAGGAGACTGACTTTGATTAAATTAGCTCTCTCTAATCTGCTAATCTATTTCCTTTCTATCTTTAAAATGCCTAAGGGTGTTGTTAAGGGGCTATTGTTAAGCTTCAATCATCATTTTTGTGGGGAGGGTCTGAAAATAAAAGGAAAGTGCACTTGGTCAAATAGAGGGAGGTCACCAAAAGCAAAAGTCAAGGAGGTTTGGGGGTGAGAGATTTAAATGAAGTGAATGATTGCTTGTTATTAAAATGGTGGTGGAGGTATGGCAGTAAAGATAAAGCACTGTGGAAATCTGTGGTGTGCTCAAGGCATGGTAAGGCTGGTGGGGGTTGGATTCCATCTGTGAATCATTTAGGTGGGGTCTCCATAGTATGGCAGGATATTTTGCAACTTACTTTAGTAAACTAGAACTTGGGTGAGTTCTATGGTGGCCATTTTAAAATAAATGTTGGAAATGGGAAAAGAATTCAATTCTGGTTTGATGCTTGGTTCAACAACAGATGTTTGAGGGAAGAATTCCCCATATTATACAGCTTAGCCATTGAGAAAGAGGAGTCTTTGCAGCAGATTAGTGCCAAGAAAAGTAGCTCATAGCTGTGGCGGCTTAATTTTAAAAGACAACTTTTAGCTTGGGAAGAAGAGGAGCTACTGAGATTGAATGATATGTTGGTGGCATCTCCTACAATTAGTTATGATCTTGAAGATTCTTGCTCTTGGCTAGCTAATAGTTTAGGGCAGTTCTCTGTGTCTTCTGTGTAAAAGTGGTGGGTTGCAGCAAAAAGGCCATGTCTGAAGGTACCTAAAGGGTTATGGGATAGTTTAGCTCCCCCAAAAGTGCAATTTTTTTGTTGGTTGGCTTGGAAAAGTAGAGTTTAAACTTCAACCTTCCTACAAAGGATTAGGGTTAGATGCTAGAACCAACAATCTGTGTGTTTTTTGCAAATCTGTGGTGGAATCTCTAGATCATGTGCTATTGTTTTGTCCATTGGTCTAGAAGCTTTGGTCACAAATGGTTAATTGGTGGGATCAATTCTGGACAATTCCTGGATCAGTAGAGGGCCTGCTTCATTGGTGGTCAGGTGGCAAGTTGAAGACTTGTGTATTCAAAATGTGGAAGATAGTTCCCTCAATCATGCTATGGTCTGTTTGAAAACTGAGAAATGAGTGTCTTTCCAAGGGGGGCCAACCTAATTTTGAAGATTTATGTGAAAAGGTGAAAGTGCATATTGCATTTTGGGCCAAATGGAACATGGAAGTAGATTATTCAATTCATGATATTGTCTCCAATCTCCATCAGATTAGGCTATCTGCTTGAGGTTCACTATGATTATGGATTTGGCAGTAAAATGGTCTATTTTCTTAGGTTTGACAGCAAGGGCTACATTCGGCTTCAGGGGATTTATCTGTTTGGCTCCTTGGTGTTTTTGTGTTCTTTGTTTTAGTCTTTGTTTGTATTGTTGGTTCCTCACCAATGTCCGAGGCTTGTGCTAACATATGATAGGGTTCCCTCATCGGTCAGCATTTGATAGGGTTCTGTAATGCTCTTTGCACTTCCTCCTCCCTCCTCCCCTCTCTCTTTACTAACGTATTTCTAGATTATTTATATTCTCTTCCATCAATAAAATTTTCCTTTAGCTGATCAAAAAAACTATTCATTCAAACTAATGGGGTGAACAACCCATGAACGTCCAATTTGGGCCCGAACCATACCCAGATACCAACAGAATAAAAAAATTATTAAAAAAAAAAAACCCAAATATTACTCCAATTTAAAAATAAAAATAAAAAACTATATATAGTTCTTGGAAGTTAAGTATATATATATAGTCTGGCATAACAACTGTGATCGTTAATTTATAATGATCAAGACCAACCATTACAACAAAACACCACCCATAACCTCAATCAAACATGAACTTGCTCAAGCTGAACATCCTTTGCTTTCAAAGGAACATACTCTCCCAAATATACCTCAAGATGATCCGACAACGTCGACTTGTCGATATTCTCATGGTGATAAGACTTGCAAACGAAGTAGATCACAGTCTGAATGACCAATCCAAACAAAAACAATTTCAACAGCAACAACAGACACAGTATCCCAAACCCGACTCTACCCGCTACGCTCACTGACTCGCCACCATGCACGACTAGTATCTCAAACAGTATCTGTATCGCCACCATAGCGAAGTTGAGCTTGAAGAAGATAACAATGGCGATCCACATCTTCCCTTTGATTAGGTTCTTGCTCTTGATCATGGCTTTGAACCCGTATGAGTCTTCTAGGACCGAGACGACGCTAGCAAGTTGCCAAATAATGGTTAAGTAGATGAACCCAATTGCGTATAAGATGAAAATGATGATCAATACTGCTGCAGCGGCATCGGTGTCTCCGACTGTGAATGCCCAGAGAATGATGAGTAGTACTGCGACCGCGTTGTAGAGGAAGTAAGTGACGAAGGTGCAGAGGAATGTGACCATGAGTCTCTTCCAGACTTTGGGGACTACACTCATCACCTGTTAATAAACAATACAAATCAATGATAAAATTTATACATTTTAATAATTAAAATATTATATTTTTTCATGATTCTGTAATTTTTTTTTACTGTTATCACTGAATTTTAATTTCTTCAAAAATTAATTACCATGTTTGGTCCCGTTTGTTTATACATTATTTTTATTTTTATTTTATGGTGTTAAATTATTTGATTTAGGCCAAGTTTGGGAAGACTAAATAAGTGCACTTTTTGTCTTTTTGAACTAAAAAATTGAGGTTGAAAATATGGATGTTTGGGTTAACTTTTTGACTTTTTATTGAAAAATGTGTAATAAAAAATTGTAAAAATTGATTTGTAGGGAAAAATTTGAATTGAGAGTTGTGCAGCCGTAATTGTTGACTTTTGATGAATGACTTTTGGTGAATAGTGTTAACTTTTTAACTTTTTGAGTAACTTTTTAGCTTTTTGGCTTTTTTGGAACATCCCAAACTTGGCCTTAGTTTCTACTCATGTATATTTATGAGGAGATATAGTTTAAATAAATTAATTATCTATGAACTTGCGAATTAGTACTTTTAGATCTTACTTTTTAATTTACAATCTCCGTTTGGGAAGTGGGTTGGCTTTTTGACTTTTTTTACTATTTTAGCCTGAGTTAAAAATTTTGGTTTGGAAAGGGCTTTTGGGTTTTTTTTGTGAGAGAAGAGTGTAATGATTATGGGTTGAATGTGATATTTTGTTTGTTGTGCTTAAAATAGTCTATTTTGGCCAAGTTTGGCAAGTCCAAAATAAGTTAAAAAGTCAAAAAGTTACTTAAAAAGTCAAAAAGTTAACACTATTTATCAAAAGTCAACAATTACGGTTGCACAACTCCCAATTCTAATTTTCTCTTACAAACCAAATTTTACAATTTTTTATTACACATTTTTCCATAAAAAGTCAAAAAGTTAACCCAAACATCTATATTTTCTTCCTCAATTTTTTAGTTCAAAAAGACAAAAAATGCACTTATTTAAGATACCCCAAACAACTCCTTTGTCTTTTGTGACTAAAATAACTCCAAACCTCCTTGCCAAACGAAAACATGTCACTTTATGAATTTTGTAAATTATATGATGTGCACTTGCAAACTAAACAAAATTTAAATGGGAGTCAAGAACAATAGAATGTGAAAGTTTATACCTTGTTACTGTTTTAAAATTGTTCTACCTTCTCCTGAATTTATTAGTGGAATGAAACAATCTATATAATAAAATAGATATGTTTTTGAAAATATCCCTTTAAACCTTGTTACTGTTTTAAAATTTTTCTACCTTCTCCTGAATTTATTAGTGGAATGAAACAATCTATATAATAAAATAGATATGTTTTTGAAAATATCTCTTTAAGAGTATTTTTAATAATTAGTCATTGGAATTGTTATTGCCATAATTTAACAATTGGAGACAAAAAATGAGCTCGAATGGTTGGTCGATAAATGCCAAAACTTGTATCAAATTTGACATAAATTTTGATAGTAGCCATAACTGTCAACTCATCAAGCAAAGTCTCCCTCCATCTCTCCTAGCAAAACATCCCTCCCTCCTGCCTGTCATTCTGCAAAACCAAACATAGAAACTAGTGTGTTCCGGATGACCAGGCGGTCGTCTGGCCAATCGTCTGAACACACCAGTTTCCGTATTTGGTTTTGTCACAATGGCAGCTGACCATTGGAGCACTATTATTATAATTCTATGATTTTTTACTATTCGTTGTCATAATTTGGCAATGACATTACTATTATAACATTTATCATTAGAGATGCTCTAACTTAATTTGTTTGAATGGCTGAGATTAATTAATCTATGTAATTGACGGTTGGATTTACTTAGATCATAATAAAACATAATTTTTTTAAAAATGTACCTCAAACACAATCGGTTAGAACGGCTCAATTGATCATAATATTTTTTCTCACAATTAAAATTATATAAAATAGAGACATATATAAAATTATAATGAATAAACATGTCAATATTAGATTTGGTGTCTTGAAGTCTATTAATTAAGCCAATAAATAAATAAATAATTTAAAACTCTTTTGGTAAATACCTCTTACATGATCTTCGATAATACATGGATTCAAATACTCCTAATACAATTGTATCCGTAGGATAGGATTGGGTTTCTCTCTATTTGAATTTGAGAGGACTTGAAGGATTCATAACAGATGTTATCTTGATTATCTAAACTGTTTATTGTGTAGGATTCTTAATATTTAAAATTTAATTGATTTGATAATTGTAACATTTTAACTTTATCATATTTGTCTCTAAAAAAATAGACAATAAATATATTTTTTAAAATAGACCATTCATTTTTTTAGAGACAATGTGACACCCCGAACGTTTAATTAAGTATCACATAAATATTTAGAATTATATATATAATTATGGTTGCTTGTGATGATAGGGTATTAAATAAATAAATATATAAATCTAATTTGGCATTAGGTTATCAAATATAGGATTAATTAGAAATTATTTGGGGGCAAATTAACACATTTATGGAATTATAATACTAGTTGGGTCAAACTAAAAATAGTAAATAAATAATATTATTGCTAACAAGAATAATAATAATAAGCTGTAAAGTAAAATAAAATAATTAATTTTATAATGATAAGGAAAAAAAATATAAGATGTAATTTAATTTAAATTAGGAACATTAAAAAAGCTTAACATCAAAACAAATGAATAAATGAATAAAAAGAAAAGAAAATGAAAATTTGTTGGCCCAGCCAATGCTTATGAATTTCGGCCCAAAAGAAAAAGAAAGAAAAAGGGTCCAAGTATAAGATTTAGGTCAAGTTTGGCTAAACTAAAAAAGTGCACTTATTTCATCTTTTTATCTTTTTTGGATCACATCAATCAACATCTCCTCTCTACTTTTTCTACACATAATACAAGAAAATTCAAAAAGTGTACTTATTTAGTCTTTCCAAACTAGGCCTTAATCTTATCTTGGAAAGATTCAAATCTTATATGAAATTCACAATTAAAAGCTCAATCACCTAGCATCATTATGACCGAGAGAGAGAGAGAGAGGAGTACGTGGCTTTCCATCACGGCTTGGTTAACAGTATAAAAAGGGGCAAAGGTGTTGCAAATTAAGGGAGGAAACACGAAAGAACAAAAGAAAGAGGAAAACCGAGAGAGAGGGGTACGTAAGTGAGCATAAGGAATCTATAGTAGGAAAATTTTGATAGGAAAGTAAGGCTAAGGTTATAATTAAGGTGAGTTATATTATATCTTGTTATATCATTATATGTTTTACGAATGTTTTAAGTTACCATAACTTATTTTATATAAGTTATATTTATTAAGTTATATAAATAAAAGTAATGTTTATAAATATTTCAGTTATGTTGGTTACTTTCTAAATTCTATTTACTTAAAAGGAAACCCATGAATATTTTTGTTTGAATTTTAGTATATATTTAACTATAACCTTATAAGCAATTATGTTTTGTAAGTATCACCACGGGAGTCCCACGCCTTGGAGAACTTAAATAACCACTGGCCTCTGTTTGACCACCTTATGGTCCTCTGTTTGTCATGGATCCATTGACTTCTATTTTAACTGTCACTTCTGTGACCTCTGTTCTGTTCTATTTTATACCGTGGTTATGATTATTTATTTACATGATTTTCTGTATTCTGCCACTTTAAATAAATTTTCATTTTAAATTAAAATATGCAAATATTTTAGCCTAACTAATTATCATTGGTTGTTTTACACTCTTGGCATAATATTTCTCACTCTGCTGTGTGCTTATAGCTGTTACCCTTTCAGGTGACGAGATGTAAGGGAAACCCATAACCCCACAAAATGAAACCTGCACATGGACCGATGTTGAATCACTATTTTATCTTTCTTTTTTTATATTTTTGCTTCATTTTGTTGCTATTCGGGGTGGTCACTGAATAATAAAATAATGAAAGTCCTAGAAATGTATTTCCTCTTTCTTAAATAGTAAAATTTCTGTTTACTTTATTTTCACTAGCGCAACTTAATTTGCTTCGAATAAAAATAAGTGAGTAAACAGTGATTCCAACCCTAAGTCCCTGGGGTTGGGTCATGACAGACAAACACGATTAAATGAAAAAGTTATGATTATCATATCGATTTAATTTTTTTCATGAATAATATATAAGAAAAATATTACAAAATGAACAATTCAAATCATAAAAATAAAACTCATGTTAAACTTTATAGATTTCTTATATTCTCCTTAATTAATATTTTAATTTGAGAGAAACCCAATCTTAATAGGGAATTCACAAAAGCCATTAACCATAATTCACAATTTCGAATTTTGCTCTCTCCTTGTCCTCGCTATTTTATTAATTTTAATAAATTAGAGTATTTAATATAATAAATGATAAACACATAGCGTGCTTGGCCAGAGGTTCGAAACAAATGGGAATTCAAATATTAATAAATAAATAACAGGATTTATAATTAAATTTGCAATAACATATTAAAATCGGGATTCTAAGTAGGATGGTTAAAAAGGACTTGTGAATCGGATCATAAAATCGGATTGATAATCGTAAAATTTTAATTTGAATGTAAAATAAAATGATAAATTATTTATAATGATAATGTATATATGTTAAATAATTATAAAATTACTAAAGAAAAATAATTAATTTGATATAATGCATCTCTTATGTTATCACCTAAATTATAAGAGATGTTTTTAAAATGAATTTATAATCAAAATTCTTATATAGATATACATATATAAGAAATGAATAATAAGAATTTATTTTTATTTTGTAAGATTAGAATCGTAGTAGAATTGAGATTGTAATGCCATACTATATGATTTTATGATTAGGATGTAATCACTTTAATACGATCCGAATCGTTTAACGTAACTAGAATTTTAAGATCTTGCTATTTAGACGGGGATCTTGATAGCCATGGTAAGTATATTGAGCATAGATATTATAAAAATGCTAAATATCTTAAAATTTTTACTAAATATTTAATGTAAGTGTGGGACTCATATGAGACCTGTATTGTATGAATCTCACATCTATATGAAACATTTGATAAGATTTTTAATATCTCTAACATTACTCTAGATATTATAAACAACATTAAATTCACAACCAACAAGCAATTGAACAATAAATCATTTATTTTTATGTATTAAAAATTCTCTAAAACATATAAATACCTTCCTGAAAGTCACCGGTCGAGCGGTGTAGATGGAGGCGATGGTGTAGACGACAGCAGCAGTAGAGAGGAGGGACAAGATGAGGAAGCAAGTAAAATACGCTAATCTGAAGAGCCACAAGATGGCCATCTCAGAGGAGACGAGGTCGGAGAGCTTGTCGTGCTTTTGCGTGCCGTCCGGAGTTCCACGTAACTGATATTCATGGTGGTGGATCTTCGAGAAGAGGAGTGCAGAGACTTCCATGTGAGCTAGGAAGATGAAGGAGAGTGGGAGGATTAAAGCAAGGCTGATTTGGCTGAAGATCTTCCTCCATGCTATGATGATCTTGTATGACTCTACGTAGATGCCGAAAAAGCCTAGAAATTGCATTTCTTCTTGTTCTCTATCCATGGTGGTTTGGTTTGGTTTTGCCTCAATGGAGAGGAGAGCAGAGGAGGGAGGAGATGAAGTTGGGGAGAGGGATTGTGAGGTGGGAGATTATAGGAGATGGGGTTTGGAATTTGGACTTTTTTATCTGTGAAACGACCCCTTGTTTTAAACGACCAAGTCAAAGTCTTCTCTTTTTGTTTGTTTCTTGTTTATTTTCTTTGTTTTTATAAATTTTATTGGATTAGAATGAAAAATAGAAAGAAAAAAAAAGTTTTCACTCTCCACTCTATTTCACAAGTTTTTTTTTTTATCATTATTTTGAATCATCTCATTATTGATTCTTTATTTGGAGATAATCATTCAAAAAAAATAAAGATATATAATATATTGCCAAGTAATTGGTGATATAAAAAGTAAAGAATTAAAGGTGATACATAGCTGTACATAAGTGATGAAGTATTTAAGTGTAATACTATTAAAACAATATGATACCATATAAAATAGCACTTCAATTATGCAGTATAAATTGTGCAAAAATAATTCTACCTATGTCGTACAGAATACTACCGATACATATTTGACCATATTTAATCATCTTTGTCCAATAAAAAAGTGAATATTTGATCTGCTAAATCTTAATTCTCATATTTAAAGTACTTTGTGGACATTTTTACCCTTATAAATATTTTTTGAACAGTTAGTAATTTGGTGATATGAATATTCATATTTTACAATGTAAATATTCACATTGACGTTTGAATGTTCACATTGACAATGTGAAGATTCACATTCATATATTAGCATTCACATTGATCGTGTGAATGTTCACATTAACGGTGTGAACATTCATATCATGAAACATTCATACTATAAATATAAATATTACTAGGAATATTTGGGTAACTAGATCACTTATAGGACTTATCAGAATATAAGAAAATAATATAGATTACATGAAACATATGTAGATGAAAAGAAATTTATAAAAAGTACCCCATAAATAAAAAAGGATATTTCATTAAAAAAAAATATTTTTGATAATACTGAACATTTATTACCTTCTATACAATCTAGAATAATAAAGTTAATTTGTCAACAATACTAGGCCTCGTTTGGAAACATGCTAATTTAGTAATTTTTTTGCTATTTAGTTAAAATATGAACTAAAAAAACTAGTCTGTTTGGGATGACTTTTTGGCTTTTTACGAAAAGATGTGCAAAAAGTAGAGAGAAAAGAGAATCTTTGATTTTTTAGTATGAGTTGTTGACTTTTTGACTAATTTAGTAACTTTTTGACTTTCTGACTAAAAAGTTCGGTTGCCAAACGAGGCCGACGTCCCTAGTGTTGTCAAAAATAAAATAAAAAATAAAAAATAAAAAATAAAAATCTTATATCAATAGATATATAACAATTAAAAGTTCACACAAAATATATTTAATCATTGTAAGTTAAATTATACATCTCAAACATTTTCTCGAGTATTACATCAATTTTATATTTTTACTTTTTTGGCATAGTGATTAATTATGCTTTCCATTTATTTGATTTCTGAGCAAAATCCCTTTTCACTCCATTTATGATAAAAGGGTGTGACAAAAAAGAAAGGGGCATAATCGTAGTTTACCCAGAATAGTGAGGTGATTTTGCTAGGAAGGAGTAGCATTAATCCAAAAAGGAGGAAACTTCTATTTGCACATCTAGGAATGGCAACGGGGCGGGGCGGGGTCGGGGATCACCCTCTCCGTCCCCGATCCTCGATGGTAGAAAATTCCCCGTCCCCGGTCCCGATCCCCGACGGGGAGCCTATCACCACCCCCGTCCCCGTCCCCAATGGGGATCGGATTTCCCCGACCCCCGATAATTCCCCGGCTAAAATTAAAAAAAAAAAAAAATCAGTCCAGATCTAAGCTGTGAAATCAGCCCATAAAAATAAAAAATAAAAATCAGTCCTTCAAAATAATCCATGAAATCAGTCCATATATTCACACACTCATCAACAGCAACATCATCAACAGATCTGTTAGAGCAAAAAAAAAATCTGAGCTGTGAAATCAATCCATAAAAATAAAAAATAAAAACTCTAATACATGATTTTCTTCAACTTCATCTTCATCAGATCTGGGTCGGGGAAACACGACAGAAGCAACGGCATGGAGGACGACGGCGATCGGAGGGAGGCACGGAATCGGCGTGAGGCAGATCGGAGGGAGGGAGAGAGATCGGCGTGAGATCGGAGGGAGGGAGGGAGATCGGCGTGAGGCAGATCAGACGGAGACAATAATGGAGGTCGGGGTGAGGCAGTGAGGTCGGAAGGAGGGAAGGAGACGAGGGTTTGAGAGAGAGAGAGAGAGAGACTTGAGTCAGTATATTTGGTAGTGTTACATCTTTATTAGGAAACATATATATATATATATAGGGAGGGTTATAACTGTAATTTCTTATCGGGGAAATGGAGACGGGGGACGGGGACGGGGCCGGGGCGGGTCTGGGCTAGGGAAGGGATCACCGTCCCCGGCCTGAAAATAATCAGAGATTTATTTTTTAATACCATCCCCGACTCGTGGGGAGTTTTTTTCGGGAAAAAACCATTCCATTCGGGGTCGGGGGGTCGGGTCCCCGTCCGGGCGGTTTCAAATTGCCATCCCTACTTTTCAGGTGACTAGCTGAGGATCACTAGCGTCTCCCAGGATCTGAAAATTATAATTAAATTAAAATATCACGTAAATTATATCAAATAATACTATATGGGCTTGTTTAATTACAAATATTATAGCATAAGACCGTAATTACTAATTAACGAACTCACAATCACATATTTGATTGTAAATTTTATTAATCGAATAATATGTACGATGAATATCTTATCCGATAAAATTGGTGAAATTTTAATATTGAGATCGACTGAGAATCATAATTTTAAATACAAAAAAATAAATACATAATAAATTATTATCTTATTAATTTAATTAAATAATTAATTTTCTACTAATTCATAAAATTATATTTTTTTATTATTAATTTTATTAATCAAACCGGGCCTATATATAATAGTTACCCGTTCCATACGCAAGGAAAGTTTATAAGGAGCGGTCTTCAGTCCCCTTTCCAACCCGGTTGGTGAGTCAACATACCAGTACTATGCCCCACGGACCACGACTTAAATGACCAATCACTTTGTTTGGTTCCTATTTTTTTAAAATAATTTTTAGAAAATTCTACACTCTTATTTTTTATATTTTTTTGTTTTTATTAAATTTTTTTAATATTTTATGCAAATTTTTTACTTTTTAGACACACCTAACATTAATACACTTAAAAAGTAAAAAAATTGAAAAAAAAAATCTTTTAAAAATTCACTAAATAACAAAAATACAAAAAAATTCAAGAATTTAGTACATTTTTTATATTTTTATGTATTTCTTAATTTTTTCACAATTTTTTTACTTTTTAGACACATCTAAGTAAGGTGCATCTAAAAAAATAAAAAAAAATGTTTAAAATTTAAAAAATATTCACTAAAAACAAAAAAAACGAAAATCAAAAAATTCAGTTTTCAAAAAAGTTAATCCAGAAAATTCAAACCAAACACAATGAATAATTTTCTGGTCTTTGTTATATATCATATTTATCAGTCTTAAATTATTAAATTTAAAAATCTCAATTTTAAGGTGAAATTGACCTATTATTGAATTAATTTAAACTCATTTTAATAATTTAAATTGTTCATTTTATACAATTAATTAAGAAATAATATATGCAAAAAATCAAATTGATCCAATATAAATTGTCATACTACTAAATTATTTTTATCTATATGACCTACATATTTTAAAAACATACCGTCAATAATATCTGTGATTTGATCATATAATTATTTATGTCATATTAATCTAATTATTCACACGTATGTAGGGATGACAATTTGAATCCAACCCGATGGGGACCCGACCCCCCGACCTCAAATTGAGCGGGTTTTTCCCGAAAAAAACCTCCGACGGGACAGGGATAGTATTCAGAAATCAATCCCCGAATAGTTTCGGGCCGGGGACGAGGATAAGTGTACCAGCCCCGTACCCGGCCCGGCCCGGCCTTATTTATCCGCGATGTGAAATTACTATTTTACCCCTATATATATATATATATATACCAAACCCTCATCTCACTTTCACTTATCTCTCTCTCACAGCTACGTCTCTCAACTCTCTCTCTCTCACTCACTGACTTCTCTCCCCCTCTCAGATCCACCACCACTACCGTCTAGTTCGCACCAGCACCAGCACCACTACCTCGTCTCTCATTCAGATCCACCACCACCACCGCCGCCCAGCTCGCACTACCACTTCACCTCCGTCATCGACGCTCCACCTCCGTCCACCTCCGTCCACCTCATCACTCTCGCACCTCTTCTCTACCTCTGTCTACCTCGCACCGCCACCCCGCCTCCTCCGTCGTCCATCGCCCCGATCTTCTCTGTCGTTCGTCGCAGTTCCATCGCTTCCGTCGTCCTCTCTCTCTCTCTCTCTGTGACACACTCAGATACACAGATCTGAGATATGTTATTGTTGATGATTTTGTTGATTGTTGATGATATAAATGATGAGATCTCAGTCTCAAATCTGTGTTGATGTTGCTTCTTTTTTTTTTTTTTTTTTTTGTCGGGGATTCTTCGAGGTCAGGGAAACCCGATCCCCGTTAGGGGATGGGGACGGGGGTGGTGATAGGTTCCCCGTCGGGGATTGGGGCCGGGGACGGGGGAGTTTTTACCATCGGAGACGAGGAGTGTGATCCCCGGTACCGCCCCGCCCCTCCCCGTTGCCATTCCTACACGTATGTCTTAGTTTGTCTTAGTTTGTTATATGAGTTAGACGATTCAAATTATTAATATAGGTACAAATTAGTCTAAAATAAAAGACAAAAAAAATTGAAGAATGTAAGACACTTTTTACTAAATTTGATACACTTTTTAATATTTTTACATGTTTTGAAGATACTTTTTATACACATTCTAATATTAAGTGGTGTTTTGGAAAGTTGATAAAAAATTAACTTTTTGACTTTTTGGTAGCTTTTTATGTAAAAAAAACTAATTTGTTTTGTAATTTTTTTTGTATAAAAAAACTAAAAAGTCAAAAAAT